GAACGGGTTGGCTTGCCGCCTGGAGGTCAGAAACGAACTTCCTGATGGAAGCGAGAGATTCAACTGGCAATTACCGAGAAGAAGGCTGCATTCAAGTAATGGCTTGAAAACAAGGAGCCTTCTACTCCCGTGCGATATGTAGATGCGGGCAAGGTGGCAGCAAAAGCGGTTGCGAGAGCCAAAGCTGATTCCTGGAAGAACCTCGGTGAGGATATGTTGGAGTCGAATTTCCAAATGGCAGGCAAAGTATTCTGCCAAAATATCCTCCGGCTCTGAGGCGGAAGGAACAGCGATCTTAGAGTGTTGAGGAAGGACAAGTTTTGACACTTCTACCAAGGATGATGACAGTGGAAAGAGTTCCTTGAGCAACTTCTTAACCCCGAATAATCGCAGGAAGACTAGCCTATAGAGCAGCATGTAACGGTTATTGCTCTTTCTGTAGAGGAAATTGCACACACTGTGAAAAGCTTGAAAAGTGGAAAGGCTGCTGGAACTGATGAAGGGCTCAAAGTATTAGGCGAACAGGGCATGTGATGGCTTTCATGTGTCAGTCAAATTGCAGTAGTTACGAGGAAGACGCTATCGGACTGGAGAACGGGAGTTATTGTACCCGTATTCAAAGAGGGAAACCACAAGAAATGCTCCAATTATAGGGGCATTACGTTATTAAGCCTCGCAGGCAAAGTCCATGCAAAGCTGCTAGAAAGGAGGTACCGCGTAAAACTGACTCCAAGATACAGGAAGAGCAGTGTCGCTTCCGGCCCGGCCGAAGCACATTTGAAAATATATTAGCCCTACACCAGATTGTTGAGAAATTATGGGAGTTCGCCCAGCTGGTGTACATGTGCTTTATTGACCTAGAGAAAGCCAGTCACCAAATCCCGTGCAGCAGTCTGTAAGCACTCTTGCGAGCAGATGGGATTGATTGCCAGTTGCTACTGGTCGTCAATTCACTATATGTTGATAACAGGTGCTGCGTCAAAGCAATTAGCATTAAGTCGAAGCCTTTCAGCATCAGCACTCGTCTCCGCCAAGGTTACATTCCGTCTCCTATCCTGTTTGTGTTGTACATGGATAGAATAGTCAGGAGCTGCCAAAGCGATGAGTGTATCGGCATAGGAGATGTGCAGACGAGTTGGTTCCTGTTTGCAGACGACCTGTTTTATTGGCATTTTCTGAAACCGATCAACAGTGCTCCCTGGAAAGGTGCGACGTGACCTTACGCATGGGAACGCATCCAAAACGAAAAGCCTAGTGCTTTTTCGTTCTCCTGCCCGTTGCTCTCTTCAGATTACCAAAGAAACAGTGGAGCAGGTGAAGAAGTTCAAGTACTTCGGAGTCGTATTTACCGGTGATGAATAAGAGATTGACCGGCGAATTGGAGTAGACAGTGGCGTTCTGCATGAACTAGCCCGACCCGTTGTGACGAAAGCAGAGCTCAGTCTGAAAACTAAGCTCTCGATGTTCAAATCGATCTTTATCCCCATACTTACCTATGGTCATGAGTCGTGGACCATCACTGACGAACTTCGAACCCGGGTACAAGCTGCTGAAATGGGCTACGACTAGTCGCCAACCTTGCTCGACAACCAAGAAGAGCCTTGGTGTACAGCCGCTGTTCCTTCAGGTTGAGAAATCACAGCTGCGATTGTTAGGGCAGATGTTGTGAATACCTCTATAAAGGAAGGCAAAGCAACTGCTGCTCGTCTAGCCGACCGGCAGAAAGCCCAGCTGACGACCAAGATTAAACTGCTAGAAACAAATAGAAGGAGTCAGCTGTAGAACTCTGATTGTCTTCTGCCGATGCTGAAACGCTGGTGCAGGATGATGAACGTTGGAAGTGCTTCTTTATACGTCTGCCTCAGCGACCTGAAATGAGAAGCGACCGTGGAAGATGAAGGTGAATAAATATGAGTGCCTTGTGTTCAGTGTAATTATATTTAATTCGCCGTGACCAAAGAAATATGAATTCCTTTGAGCGCTATCTAAATTATGTAGTGTCAGTGTTGTTGACATATATGCAACGATACATCTTTGAATCCTACAGTATCCCACTAGATCTTCCTGAATTTCTTCCAGCTCTTGCAACCGAGAAGTAATCTGCAGCTGTATGTTGTCAGCGTTAGCAAACCGTGGAATATCCGATTCGAACCTGAATATTCTTCATACCTCTGTCTTCATGCCTGACCAGCAGCTTCTTGCGCCGATGGCAATCCAGCTCAAGGAATTGTGGTTTTGTTATGATTTCGTTTTTGAGGGTGTAGCTTTAATCCGCCATGTTGGACAGGCGGGTTGTTGAGTGTTGCCTCTTCTACTTGTCCAGACATATTTATCATCTTTCACATGTTTGAACCTGCCAAAGTTTAAAAACGCTGGTGTGCATCTTCTTGAGCATCTGATGTCACAAGTTTAGCTACTAGGAGGAGTACTTAGGAGGAATTTACACAAAGACTGTCACTACAGAATCATCTACATACATGAAACCATTAATATTATTACATGGAGAATAATCTGTTTGAGTTTAATGGTAAGAATTCTATGTGCTATCCTTTTCGGTTTGTTGTGATGGCCCGTACCAAACAAATCACCACAAAGTCTCACAGAAGAAAGGCCCGCGAAAAAGTCAGCGCCAACGAGCGGGTGTCAAAAAACCGTATACACATAGTGTATATATGATATATTTTGGGATAATGTTTTACACTTTGTGCATTTTAAGATGCCTACATCATATTTTGGATTAAATATTTAAACTGTCATGAAAGGCGAGACATTAGCATCATCATACAAGCATGATGTTTAGCATTTAAGATGTGTTTGAAACAAAATATATTAATTTTCAGACAATCTATTCTCAAAGTACCTGAAAGCAGGTGGTATTTTGTCACGCAATTCAACTGCCGATGAGCCAGAACCCAATGCTGACCAAATGTACGTGACCGCTGACATGACCACGTCATTCATCATACTCATCGGCGTGTTTTTCCCGTCGGTTACAGGCAAGTGATGCGTCATCATCGTAGATGTTTGAAGTAACCTTTTTCTCACGGTCTTCTGTTTTCAGGCATAATGCAGGGATCCAATCGGTCAGGTGATCTCAAAGACGCGTCACACTCCATCCCAATTGGAACTATCAGTGCCCAAATCAGCACCTCCATTATATGTAGGTTGCTCGGCTTCAGAAAATTTGCTGTCAATCAGCCTGTTTGCAGGCCTGTCTCTCCACCCATCTGCTGTCTGTTTGTTCTGTCCGTCTGTCCATCTGTCTGTCTGTCTGTCTGTCTGTCTGTCTGTCTGTTTGCTTTTTCGAGCCAAGTCAAGTTTATTATTGCAGCAGGTAGAAGGTGCTTGTTTTCAGCTTTTCAGAGAGAGAAAAAACAACACGTCGCTGAATTGAAGAGAAAGCGACTATGCAAAAACAGGTGAATCTGTGCAAGTTGGCCCCAGATTTGTTGTTCAAATAGGATTGACATTTTTAAGTAATATTTGCACGTGAGTTCTTCAGGTATTCCTGTCAAATATAATGTTCACGTGCATGGTGCAGAACCGAAGACGAGCCAACCTATGGCGAGCATACAGTTGTAGGACAGTTGTGATTATTCATAGCATTCATCTCGGATTACGGTCAGCAGCTTTCTAGGCGTTTTCATGCTCGACGTTGATCCTTCGCGAATACTGCAAATTTTCTGATCAGGTACCCAGATGTTCAGTCCTATTCAGCCATATGAGTAGAATAACTTTCACCCGCAGAAATTCAGGATTCCAAGGCTCTGGTAATTTGTTGACTAGTCCAACCATATCCAGTCAATACCATGCTGACTCACTAACTAGCTCCTGATCTTTCACTCTGAATGAGGAGGTGTTCCAGTTTTTGCCTCAGAGGTTTACTTCCGATATTGTTCCCATGGAACCTTATGTGATGTGTTATAATGGCATTGCCTTCTCTGTTTCATCCCTTCAGAACGGCTAGCGACTCCGCTGATGACTGGTGTTTTCTTCGTTTTCGTGTCTTCCATCTGCAGCCATCGTGTTGCTGCTGCGTCCCCAGTTGCCGGGAAGCGTGATGCAAGTTTTGATTAACGACTTTCGCGGTCTGTCTCAGTTCCCCTGTAGCCTGCGCGGAATCATGTCAAACTGGTTACGACCAAACTGGATGGATAACAGCAGTTCCATGAGTGACTAAGGTGGCTAAGTTTCACTGGGGTTGCCACAGTCCCCAACCCTCCTGTTTTCTCATCTGGATTTGGGGCCGGCAAATGTTCAGAGGCAAAGTATTTGTTTTACACATCTGCATCAACAGACGTGTACTCAATTATAGCTAAATCGCAGAAACAGGGGGCCGACCCTTTTACTCCTCTGAAGATTGGAAGGGCTAATGAATCCAATCCATCGATTCCACCGCGGTAGCAGTTTCGGCGGAATTCCAGCATCGTTCTAATAGTCGACACAGTAATGTCTTAAAGAGTAGGTTTCAACAACTGGCACTTGAAAGCGGCTTGATTTCAGAAGTGATTATCGAGATCATCCAGTGTACGGGCGGACTTAAAGATTATCAATATATCATTTCTACTACCTTATGCTCTCTGGTCATGTCGTTTATCACAGATGTCCAGTTATATTAATCTTGGATCACAAAAGCAAAATACTGAAACTATTCATGTTGCTGTTCCACTGGACGAATATTGCAGGAAACTGAGTTCAGAAAATATGAAAATACCATATGCTGACAATAGAACTGAAGCAGTTATGCCGATTAATGACTCTGCGAACAATACCAGTGCTGATCTCTGCAAATAAAGCTATTCCGAAGTCAGTGACGTCAAACATTGATCACCTGAAACTAACAGAGAGGCTACCATAACGTTCCAGGACATCCCTTGAATAGTGAGAAAAGTTTCGGAAGTAAATTTGTGGCATGTTGCATAGCCATGTAGCTTATCACTTGGCTGCTGACAAAATATTCTTTGTATCATAGAAT